TTATTTATTTTTTATTTGAGGGGAGTGTCTCGCCCTGTCGCCCAGGCTGGAGAGCGCAGTTGGTGCAATCTCGGCTTCACTGGCAAGCTCCGCCCTCCGGTCCACCCGCCATTCTCCTGCACTGGAGGCCTTCCAGTAGCTGGTTACAGGCGTGCGCCACTATATCCTCAGAAGGCTGAGGTCTTTAAGCCAGATCTAAAGGCAAGGATGCGTTTTAGTCTGATCATGAAACTCTAACCACCACTTTCAATCCTCCAATTTTATAGACCTCTTCTGTGATCCAAACAGGACTTGTCGTAAAATTCCCTGGTAAAAGACTATAGTTTGCCAGACAATCCATATTTTTTGGCCAGTTAAATTCTTAATAGATAACACATGCCTTATAAATATGTTTTGTAAATTTCCCCATATGCACAGCTATTAGGTTTCTGTGAGGACACACGATTAATGCATATATTAATGGCTATAGTAACAAATAAAGTAGCATATCGTTTCGTGATAAGGGCCTCATCAGTAACTTTAACTAGACAAAGGGAGATTTGTACCAAAGAGGGAACTGATCTGAGCCAAAATTATCCGTGTCTGAGATTCATTCAATTATGTATTTGCTTACTTGTTTCCGTTAGAGGACTAGGACTTTATTTGTTCTATTTAATTCAGGGGCCCAATTACTGGCACTTCATGGTCTCTGGGGATTTTCACACTTAAGCAAATCTACATCGTTTTAAGTAGTATCCTAACTAAATGCCAGTTTTACAATTTTAGTAGGTAGCTTTTGTTAGTTTGTTCTGTATTCTTTGTTGCATTTTTATATTTTAGTGGCTTATATATTGTGTGTGTGTGTGTGTGTGTGTGTGTTGTGTGATTATTTACTTTAAGTTCTGGACACATGTGCGAACGTGCAGTGGTTGTCCATAGGTATACATGGCACCGCGGAGTTTTGCCTTGCACCTAATTCACCCGTTCATTTCTAGGTTTTGAAGCCCCATATGCACTTAGTATTTGTTCCTAATGGCTCTCCTTTCCGCTGGCCGCAACCCCAACAGGCCCTGGGTGGTGATCTTCCCGTTCCTGTGTTCGTGTGGTTCTTCATGTTCAATTCCCGCTATGAGTGAAAGAAACATGTGGTGTTGGGTTCTGTCCTGTGTTCGGTTTTGCTGAGAATGATGGTTCCCAGCTTATTTATGTCCATGGCAAAAACATGGACTCATTCTTTTTTTATGGGCTGCATAGTATCCATGGTTATACATGGTGCCCAATTTCACATTTTGGGGGGGTGGGTCAGGAGTCTTGCTCTGTGTCCAGCTGAGTGCAGGTGCATGATCTCAAGCTCACTGGCCAAGCTCCCCCTCTCAGGTTCATTGCCATTTCCTTGCTCAGCGCTCCAAGTAGCTGGGACTACAGGTGCCGGACACAAACCCACCAGCTACTTTTTTGTATTTTAGTAAAGATGGATTCCACCGTGTTCGGTCCCAGGATGGTCTTGATCTCCTGACCTCCATGATCTGCCCCGCCTAGCCTCCAAGTGCTGGATTACCGGCTGTAAGCCACCACCGGGCCCGGCCTATATGTGCCACAATTTTCTTTAGGGCAGTCTATTCATTGATGCATTTGGGTTGGGTTCCAAGTCTTGCTAATTGTGCATAGTTGCTGCAGTTAGCATGTGTGGGTTCGTGGTCTTTATAGTAGGCATGATTTGGTATCCTCTGGGTATGATAATCCAGTTATGGGATTGCTGGTATTTTCTGGTCTAGGGATCTTTGAAGAAACTCATCACACTTGGTCTTCAAACAAGGGTTGAACTAATTTACACTTCCCACCACAGGTAAAAGGCAGTTCCTTTTCTCAACCAGGCCTCAGGCAGTAATCTGTTATTTCTTGGTCTTTTTAATAATTCACCATTCGTAACTGGTTGAGGATGATATGCTTCATTGTGGTGTGCATTCTCTAGTGACCAGGTAGTGGATGAGCTTTTTCCTCATATGTTTGGTTGGTCGACAAATGTGCTCTTTTGGAAGTGTTCTGCTCATATCCTTGTTATCTTTTGATGCGTTGTTTTTTCTTGTAATTCGTTTAAGTTCCTTGGTAAGATTTCTGGATATTAGCCCTTTGTCAGATGGGACACCATTGCACACAACTTTTCATCCCATTCTGGTAGTTGGCCTGTTTCACTTCTGATGAGAGTGCAGAAGGCAGAAACTGGACCCTCCTTACCACCCTTGGTACAAAAATAACTCCAAGATAGGATTAAAGTCTTAAATGGTAAACCAGCAGGTATGGTGCTCATTGCCTGTAATCCCCAGAACTTTGGAGCCGAGGGTGGGTAGATCAACCGGAGGGTCAGGGAGTCGAGGAGCCAACCCTGGACCTAACATGGTGACACCCTGTCTGTACTAAATTAGCCCAGGCGTGGTAATGTTGTGGCTATAATCCAGCGCTCCAGAGGGCTGGAGGCAGGAAAACCCACCTTGAACCCGTGGGAGGGCAAAAGGTTGCAAGGAGGGCCAAGATGTGCACTGGGCACTCCCCAACTGGGCAAACAGAGGCGAGATTCTGTCTAAAAAGGAAAAAAGTAAAACTCCAAAACCCAAATTCTGAGAAGACCTAGGGCAAGTTACCATTCGGGAGATAGGTATGGGCAAAAGACTTTTAAGACAAACCACGCAACAGCATTGCAAGAAAAGCCAAAAATGGACAAATGGTAGGTCTAAGTAAAAGTAAAGAGCTTCTGCCAGCAAAAGAAAACTATCTTTGCATTTTAAATATCCTTTAGAATCACATGGTCTGGGGAATCTCAGAAACGTTTCCTGGTGACCCAATTTCCCGAGGTTAATGTATTTGAAGATATAATGACCTATTTAGTGCAACTTCATGAAGTCAAAGCTCTAATCAAGGACTGGAACTGGACTCCCTTTTCTGATCGAGTTATTCAAGATAGAAACGACTGTAACTGACTCCCCCTTTTCCTCTCAGTATTTCATGGCGGGGGGTATAATCGTAACCTATGTTAAATATTCCAATTTTATACATGAACTATAAATTAAGTTCAAGTTTGGTGGAGAGGAGGTTAAAATCCCTTATGGTCCTTTGTGGGTTTTTTTTCCCCCTAGTTCTTCTATGAATTTTCCCGAGGAAGGAAAAGTAATTATCCATAGTGGCCGGTTGATATGGGGACCTCCGCCACCCCCCGCAAAGGATATGCCAAACCACAACCTCAAAGGATGTGACCCTTATTTGAAAGTAAGGTCTTTGTGATATAATTAAGGTAAGAATCTAAGAGATTGACATTTACCTTGGACATAGGACCAGGATCCTGATTCCAAAGATAAGATTCCTTGTAAGAGAAAAGAAAAGCAGCCAGGAACGCTACCAGGAGCATTGGGGAGACAAGATGGGATTCTTCCCCCCAGTCTTGAGAGGAAGACATGCTCTGATGAGGCTCAGTTTCAGACCTCCTAGGTTCCGACACTGTGAAAAAGTAACCTATATATATGATTTTTTTCTTTTTTTTTGACAGTCTCGGCTCTGTGCGCAGGCTGGAGTGCAGGTGGTATGATCTCGGCTCACTGCAAGCTCCGCCGTCCTAGTAGGCTGGGACTACTAACGGCCGCCCCACCACCACGCCCCGGAATTTTTGTATTTTTAGTAGGAAACGGAGGTTTCACCAGTGGTTAGCCAAGTGGTGTCCTCTCCTGACCTGTGAATCCGTCGCTCGTACCGTCCCGCAAAGTGCTGACGATTAGCAGGGGTGAGGCACACGGGCTCGGCCAAAATTATATGTTTTAAGTTAACAAATGATTTAATTTGTTGCAGGGGAAGCTCCTAACAAAAACTAATGCAATTGACCCTGAACAACACAGTTGAGGGACATTGGTCCACTTATGTGCGGATTTATTCAGTAAATATATTGGAAAAATTTTTGGAGAGTTGCAAATTAGAAAAAATTTTAAGAAAAAACTCTGTAGCCTAGAAATTAGAAAAAATAAGAAAAACGTTAGGTATGTCATGAAATTGCATAAAAACATATGTAGATTACCAGGACTATTTTATTTATTTACATCATAATATACCATGAACGTATGTAAAAAGTATAAATTTTATCAAACTATGGCACAACAGACTCATAATAGTTTGCCATTGCAGTCAAGAAAAATGGAACAAATTGAATAGGCAGTCATTAAGATCATAGTTGCATTAACAGTTAACTTTGCACGCGAGCGGGTACTACTGTAGTTAATACAGTAGGAGTTTGGAGACCGAGCCTGGCCAACATGGTGAAACCTGCGATTTCTTACTAAAATATAAAATTAGGCTTGGTGTGGTGGCGAGGCCTATAATCCCCAGCACCCAGGAGACTGAGGCAGGAGAGTCCACGCTTGAACTTGGAGGCCAGAGGTGCAAGTGAGCCCGGAGTTACACCATTGTACCAGCCTGGGCACAGGACTGTCTGTTTAAAAAACCACAAACAAAAACAAAACCACCAAACAAAGTCATCTCCTTGGTATGTTCTCATGTATTTTCATTGTGTTTAATGGCAGTTTACCCATTGAATATGAATACCCCATGGGAGCATAGGAAGGGCACATATTGCTGCTGTAAGTGTCCCAAGAGGCAGAACAAACTTCATGGACGATTACCAGGAAATGTTGAGTTACTTGATATGTACTACCACTGAAGTTCTCAAGCTTCTAGTGGCCCACATTTTCAGACAGCCAATCCATCTTGTAAAACAGCTTTGTTAAGACGTGTTTGATATCGAAAGTAAGTACTTGTTAATATATTTTGTCTTTCCTATGATTGGTCTTAAACCATTTTTATTCTCTGCTGAGCTTTACTGTAAGGATTAGCATTTACATAAATTTAACATAGGCATAGTATGTTTATGACTGCTTTATGTTTTTCAATCAGTAAGGCATGTGGTCCAAACAGGTACTGCTACTACTAGTTCATTTCTGGGGGAGCAAGTTATATATATTTTTTTTACTGTATTGGAGTCAGCCTTAAACATTGTAGAATTTTGATTTCTGCATTTTTTGCTTTTCTGCACTTTGCAAACTCTGTTATGTATTATTAGTTGCAAAACTTATGATGTTATATCTTTATTTTTTGAATGGACCTTTATAGTTGGTGTGAATTATTTTGTTTTGTCTCTATTTAAATACTTTTGGTATAAATTATTTTTTCCTGATTTTGGGATGTCGCCAATTGGTACATAAATGGGGTTACGATGGAGTGGTGAAAGGGGTTTTGGTTTCCTGCCACCGTGTCTTCCGAGCCTACTTGTGCCGCGGCGCCTGCCGCTGGCGCAGTGGCGAGTAGTTGGGGCCGCGCTAGTTGTGGGTACTGTGTAAGAGGAGTCACGACTGTATCGTCCTTGCAGGATGGTATTTCTCACTTAGCATACTGTGTCCTGCTACGTTGAGCATGTTGGTTTTAAACAATAACCAGACGGAGAAGTGTCAGGCGTGACTACGTCCATAGCGCGCGGCAGTATACCACTAGTGGTGTCTCTACCGTAGACAGTATAAAGTTGTCTCCATGTTCTTGGGGCTATGGCTGAATAACCACCGCAATAAAATCAGAGATTGCCAGTATTTCTTAGCGGATAATGATTAAAAAAAAAAAAAAAAAAAAATTCCTTTTTCTGAACAATGTAAGGAACATTTACTAGACGAGAAAAAAAAAAAAAAAAAAAACCAGAGAAAGATACTTTTTATGAATACTGATCTTTTAATTCATCTTTCCTATAAATACCAACATCTATTTCCTTACAACTACAGACGTGTAGCTGTCCTCATAAAAAAAAAAAAAAAAAAAAGAGAACAGAAGAAAAGGCAGCGCTCAGCAGTCAGGCTGCCCAAGCAGACAGTAGAGGTGGCCACAACAGCCAGCCTGACGCAGGAGCTGCCCTGAGATGGGCATGAGGCGGCAGCAGACCTCGGCCTTCTGGTCTGAAAGCTGCGTAAACCTGAAACGTACAGCAGAATGGAAAAATAGGAAATGACTGAACCCACCTTTTTAATAAGGCCTGGAGATAAGCAGCTGTGCAAAATATCTCGTGACTGGGAAGAAAACTTGCACAGAGAGTACGAAATTGCCGCTGAAAAAAAAAAAAAAAAAAAAATTATAACATGTAAATGTTATCCATACAAAATAAGGGATGAAGGAAAAAGTTACTTTCAACTTCACAAAACTGAGTTTAGTGCATTCTAAACTGGATGACCTAAAAAAAAAAAAAAAAAAAAGCCTCCCGGGTTCACGCCATTCTCCTGCCTGAGCCTTCCAAAAAAAAAAAAAAAAAAAAAAGCGCCACCACACCCAGCTAATTTTTGTATTTTTAGTAGAGAAAAAAAAAAAAAAAAAAAAACAGGTTGATCTCAATCTCTCGACCTGATGATCCACCCACGTAAAAAAAAAAAAAAAAAAAAATTACAGGTGTGAGCCACCAAGCCCAGGAAGGAAGGTACAAAAAAAAAAAAAAAAAAAAA